ACTTATATATGTTGTGATGAAAATCTTCTTTCTACATGTAATCCCAATACAAATTCCACTCTCTGCTATAAGTAAAATTAAGTCTTTTTTATATATTATATATATTTTTCAAACCTTACCCAGTCCGGCCGCATGGAGAACAAGGGTCGGATTTTGAACTGGAAGCTGATCCTTCATGGAACATCAGAAAAACCGGAGCACATGAAGAAACCTCGAGTGTACATTCCTTACAATGCCGTGCAGAACGACCGCCGTGGTGTAGAACATATGGATGACATGATGGAGGTGAGTGCAAGTCCAACATAAATTAAAACTGCAGGTGAATCCCTACGAAGGTTTGGATGCTAGACGATTGACAGACAGTAATAAGCGCACAAAGGAACAGATCAAAGCATCCATTTAAGATCAACTTGAGTCGAAAGCGCGAAGTTTAAACTATGTACCAGTTTTTAATTCTAACAGTGATTGGCAGCTTGATGCATATAAATCCTACACCACAGAATTGGTTCAAAGCCAACACGATAACCGTGCTTATGTTGTCTATTTGGTCGACAAATCTTAGTGTAACAAACACAGAAGCTTTTCAGATGTTTGTTGATGTAGTAATGATCCTGTTAACTATATAAAAGAATCCATGCAAAAACAAGAAATGTTCTGAATCCCAGTCAGTGTTACATTTCAGATAATCTCAAAAGATGTGTGGGAATTGAGCATTAGACTAAGTTTGCGAGCAATTGTTGGTGCTGCTCTCCCAGCAGCGCGGGGCAGGATTAGATTAGGGTTAACACATTTGATAACTTAGACCTCAGAGGGTTAAACGATAAGGAGATGACAGGAACCTTGTTTAGATCTGATAAGCAGTGATACAGGGATCTTGTCCATAGAAACGATTTTTAAACATATTTTACGACCCACAAGAATCAAAACCAAACTTTAGACCTCCTCTTTGGATTATTCTGGTATCACTGTGAGTGTGCCAAACTAATGGCTAGCCTCCTTTCTCTCTTTGTGTCTGCTGTTACAGGAACCAACACAGGCCCAACCTCAGAAGACTGAGAATGCCCAAGCCTCTCCTAATAACTCAGAGAAGGAGATCAAAAAACCCTCAAATTCACCCTTCTCCCCCTCCCTTGCTCTGCTGCGTCTCCTGCAGACGGCCTTCAACCGGCAGACCCCAGCGCTGCAGCAGTCTGAGCCCATTGCCAAGGCCTGGAGGAAGCAGCAGCAGCTGGGCCAGAGCTTCTCTCCCCCTGCTACGAGACTCCCGCCTCAGAAGCTGTACCAGGCTCTGGACATGATCAACAAGTACCGGAGCCCTGAGGACAGTGTCTACAGTGACTACAGTGACGGCTTCTACAGCACCAAGCCGTACAGGCACAGAGATGACCGTCTGCTCCAGGCCCTGTTTGAGATGCTCGACGATGCCCGCAAGTGAAAGTCTAACAGAGCAGTGAGGAGATCTAAGTGGAAGAGACTGTTGGTTTGGGAGCTGTGGAACAAGGTGAAACGAAGAAGGCTGAGACCAGGCACTGGGAGAGGAGGAGGAAAAAAGATACAGAAAAAGAGAGAACTCTTCCTGTTCTGTTGTTCCCCCCAAAATGCTGCATATCTGACCTATTAACCTTCACTTGCCAATCACCTTTTGTAAACAGATATTTAAATTCCTTCATTCAGTGCATAATGTCCAAATGTGATTCAAAGCATCTGCTTTATCTCCATGTAGTGAAAGTAAAAAAAAATCATTTACACCAGACGAAAAGTGGAGTTGGTGGTGGTGATGGGGTTGACGGTGGCCTTTTCTCTCATCTCTTTACTGCCTGCTGAAGCATGCCACCTTTAGAATCTAAGTTTTGTAATAGTAGCTATATATTATCTATATATTATTCAGAGACATGGATTGTAATATGGATTTGTAATTACATCAAAAATCTTGACATTGTGATTCAAAAATCCCATTTCTACAGACTTTTTTTGGCATTGTCCAAAGTTTATGTCAATATGTTTCTCACTACAAATTTATTTGCTGTAGGGGACAAATTGATCCTAATTCAAATCAACATGAATTTAAGAGTGAAATTAAATTTGAATTCGATTAGTCATTTGAAAAGGTTTAAAAGTGTTGACTAAAGATTTATTCTCAGGGTGTCAGCAAACCTCAACAGAGGACTTTTCAAAGTATTTAGAGAAATATATTTAGTGTGACAGATTATTTAGTGTAAAATAATACAGATGACACGATAATACAGACAAAACATTAAAACTAGAAAAGATTATGATAGCAACAAATGACTGAAAGAGCACTGGAAATCTTTTCAGTTGGAGCGAATTACAGATTAATCTTCTTGTGCAATTTGTTTAATTTTGTATGAGTATAATGCTGCATTAAATTAAATATTTTTCTATGGATACCTTATAGGTTATGAAACAATATATAGAGTCTCAAACTATTTATTTTCTTGTGACACAGTTCAGTAAAGTCAGTGTAGTTATAATCACTGCAAATGAGCACTGCCAAAAATCCTGCTCTTACAAAGAAGCTCCTGTGCAAAAAGCTCTTTAATCAGAATTTGTAATATGCCATCTATAAACAGTTCTGTGAATCCTGGACACAATTTTTTTTTTGCATTATTATTTGCAAATAAACCACTTCTCTGGTGTTGTTTGATTTTAATCAATCTATTGACTGACCAAAAGCTGGGTAGAGTAGGGGCTCTGCAGTACAACTCTTAAGCACATTCATGTTGAACGCCTTAAAATATGCTGTAACACATGTGCATACTCATCTCTATGTGATGTAGGTTGGTTTAGAGATGCTAGTGTAAGTGTTTATGACATAAATAGCTATGAAGTCCTTATGCAGAGTCCCTACCCTCCAGCTTGGAGCTGCCCGCCCCCACTGCTCTGCCAGCACAGTGACAGGAAAACAACAATGTTTGGAAAAACGCTTTACATGCACCCTGTAATTTAGCCATTCTTTAGTGTAGTCCATGCTGTTTCCTTTATGTTTTAGTTTCTGGCTGAGACTTCAGGCCAGAGTTGTTTACACAAACCAATGTTATGTTGTGATATCTGTATGGGTGTACAAAAAATTATTATTATTTATCTTAATAAACTGCAAAGTGACTTCTTGTGTTTGTTTGAGTCTCTGGCAATAGGTTAGGGCCACCTTGCTAATACTGAGTTGGATCTCCCTTTTTCTTTCTGCACTGCTGTAATTCAACAAGGTGCTGCAAAGATTCCTCACAGATTTTTACTCCATATTGACATGAGAGCATCACACAGTTGCTGCAGACTTGTTGGCTGCACATCCATCATGTGGCTCTTCCATTCCACCGCATCCCAAAGGTCTTCTATTGGTGACCAATGGACTTTTGAGACAACCTGGGTACAATAAAGTCATGCTCCAAAAACTAGTTTGAATTTTTTAAAGGTTTGTGACATGGTGCATTATCCTGCTGAATGCAGGTGACTACACTGTGGTCATAAAGACACGATAATGATCGCTGACAATACTCAGGTAAGCTGTGGTGTTTAAATGGTGCTCAGTTAGTACTAAGGAGCCCAAAGTGTGCCAAAAACAGACATCCCTCACACTATTAATTCACTAACAGCAGCCTGAACCATTGATACAAGGCAGGATGGATCCATGCTTTGATATTTGCTTTACAGCTGAACATTAGATAAGTTTCCCAATAGATAATCAAGTCCAGATTATACTTTATGAAATCTAGAAATCAACATTATTGAACACATGAATCACAATTTCAAGGAGGCACTAAAAGCACTGAATTTATTGCCATGTGATTGCGTGCAGCTGAATAACTGTTGAGTGTACGACTACATTGATATTTTGTCCAGAAAGACAAGCAGTGGGTGCAGATTAACCAGCGGATGCACTTTGGATTTTTCTGAAAAGCTTCTCTTTTTGAGGCTCAAAATGAACATTCATATTTTTCTTAATGGAAGTAAATTTAAGCCATACAATGCTAACACTCACTTAGCCATGTTCTGTAAAGAACAGTATTGCTATTTATAGAACATGACTAAATCTGCTGTTTAATCCACAAACCTTCTAAAACCTTCCAATAGTTGATTTATCAATTTATTTTCATATAATTGTGGTTTCCTGAGACTAGAGACTCTGGAATCCTCTAGCTTGACTTTTGGCACTAGAACTTGCATAAGCAGCTTTTACATTAAAAACTGGTAGAGGCATTTATGATACCCAGAAAATAAATAACTAAAATAAATTAGTGTAGTGTTGCTTAGTCTTCTGTGATCCTGAACTTATAAGTGATCATATCTCAGTGTAGGGACCAAAGCCCTGCATTGACACCTCACTATGAAATTACAACTTGCTGAGAATAGAAAATCTGAAGGAAATGAGATTTCCATGCACTGTCTGTCTAAAATCTACAATTTCTTTTAAATTAAATAGAAGTACTAATTGTCCTAATAAGTTCTATTTTGTTAATTTGCACTGAAATGGGGCCACTGAGCTGCATATGTACACTGTCCAGATGTGTTTTAAACCTCATAAACATGCATTAAACCCATAAACATTCAAATATTTGCTTCAGTTACTTTATAATGTGAGAGTGACAATGTTTTGTCTTATTGTATGATACTTGTTGCAACAATGCAACAAGCAGTTAGAGCAGCTTCTGTCACAGGATTTGATATTGAATAGTGCCACCTTGTGGAGCAGCAGGAGAAAGGATAAGGAAAAAATGCCTGATGCCTGCTGTATGACTTATCTGTGCAAATCTTGAGATTTAAAAATGAATTTGAGGAAGTTGTCCTTCTATTTTGAGTATCCTGTACTGTCTAAACAGAGGGGAAGAAGGAAAGAAGAGTGGGTGTAACACTACCTGTTAATGGTTTTCTTGCCCTGTTATGTCTTACTGACGGTACAGCAACGACAAACTACCTCGGCCACACAAACAAAAACTGTTATGTCTTACTCTCCTCCCCTCATCTCCTCCCATTTCCCTCTTTTCCCTTCACATCTGGCTACTTTGGTTTTTCTCCAGAAGTGAATACTGCAAAAAGCCTGAAGAAGAATGTGAGAGGGGGGAGATGAAGAAAGGTATGTGAAGAAAAGGGAGAGGAAAATATTATAAACGCAGCGAGAGAAAAATACAAACCATAGGAAAGATGTGGGAAAACTGACCCCGAAAAAAAATCCTGGTGGAAAAACAGTGAGTTAAACAGTAGATTTCCAGGAAGAGACAGAGTGAGCAACAGAGAAACACAAACAGAGGAGCAGAAAAATAGTGCCTTCGGGAACCAGCAGGTCACAGTATGGCACTGTTCCCTTTCTGCAAGGCGTCATCAGGTTAGTGCAATATCTATGACCACTGCTCCACCTCTTCGACTGATGTCAAATCTGGTTGTTTACGCCTGATTGATTTGTGCTGTATTTATGTACGCTAAAACTGGATTACTTTTAAGATGAAGAGACTCACATTGAATCAAGCAGAAAGAAGAGCAGACATAAAAAACTTGCAGTTTTTTAAACCTATCATGCGATACAAAAAAATGTTAGTTTTATCTCGTGCAGTCCCATGTAATGTCAGTCTTTCTTTGCATCTGTGTGTTTGCCTTTCAAGCAGGACCAATCAGAGTGAGCAGAATACAACTAGTCCTGTGCTGTTTTCTCCTGTCTCTTATCATATGTAAGTGTACAGAATAATGTGTTCTGCTCTACCCCTTTGTGTCACTGCATACACCTAGAAGAGTACACAGTAAAAAACCTCAGCTGAGTCATGTGCTCAGTAAAACACACGCTTTTAATTAATTTCCACAGAAAAATATTTATTTTTTTGCTTTTGGCTTCACTTGGGACAGATTGCTATGAATCATCTCCTCTAAATATTTTGCGCATAGTACAAGTTGCAAAGTAGAAGTATATAAGATCAGTTTGCACTGCACAAATAAGCGTCTGGTGTTTCCTCCTCAGACTACCTTCATGGCAGCAGAGCTGCTGCCAGAGTGCACCCAGCTCACCCTATATTTCATCCCTTGGAAATGGACAGGGGGAGAAAAGTGACAGACATGGAGGTGCTCAAGGGAGCAGAATCGCAGACTCCTGCAGAGACACCATGGGGTGCTCCCTTGGTGTGGGGTGACAGCCGCCACTCGGCATCGTGCAGGGCTAAATTTGCACAACGGGAAATGCGCATAGGTCTGCTGGTCTTGGTGGTGGGGACTTATGCCCAGTTCATCAGGCGTTTCCTGTACTCGGCTGAAACCTACTTTCTTCCTGGTCAAGTAGTCACATACTACATCCTCACAGATAATCCCCGCTCTCTGGATCCTCCCGTCAAGCTGGGGCCTGAACGAGAGATGAAGGTGGTTCCTACTGTCGAGGTGCCCGGGTGGGAAAGGCTGGCTCATCGTCGAATGACCCTTCTTGGTGATGCCATCCAAAAATCAATTGACAGTGAGACTGATTACATCTTCTGTGCTGATGTTGACCAGGAGTTTGTTGCTCCTGTTAGAGCGGAAATCCTTGGAGACCTGGTGGCTACACTGCACCCAGAACTCTATGGGATGCCAAGAAATGCTTTCCCTTATGAGGATGATGAAGGCTCATCAGCTTACGTGGAGGAGGATGAAGGAGACTTTTACTACACCTCTGAGTTTTACGGCGGGGCGGTATCTGAGATGTACAAACTTGCTCGCGCTTGTTCTTTGCTCATTCTTCAGGACCACGCTGATGGGATAACAGCCAGGGGCCTAGAGGAGAGCTACCTGAACCGATACCTGATTGACCAGAGGCCGACCTGCGTGCTGTCCCCAGAGTACAGCTGGTGGGATTCTGACCTGTCTGCTCAAGTGCCTGTACATAGGCTGCTGTCCTTGGGAAGGCAATGTGAGTCTTATAATGATAAGCAGAGAGAAGAACACAAATGTTGATTTTTTTTTTTTAATGAAAAAAAAGACCCATAAATCTACACAGAGGACTGTTTCTATTGTTATATCTGACTGTGCTGTTATGACAGGACAGATGATGGAAAGAAAAGATAACGGAGGGGCACATACTGCAGTTAACGTCACAATTTCCATTTAACTGTTTGTTCTATAGGCCAATAAATGCAGCCTGCAATCACACCAGAGCAAACTGCGCAATCTGCACTGAATTAAAGATCCATTTGGGGGAACGATCCCCTGCACCTCCTATCTCTGCCAGAGCAGACAAAAAGAAATTGACCTGTCTCTTTAAAAGGAAAGTCCTGTCTACTCCATTAATGTCAGCCTCAGAGATACTGCTCCATTGGCTTTGTGGTCAGCAGCGATAAGAGTCAACAGAGTAAGTGCACTCTTTTCCCCACAGTGGCCAATCATTAACTAGAAGAGCTGCTGTTTCAAGGTTTTTAAAGACCAGGTGGCTGAAAATGGACGCAACAGGATGCTGTCTGCCCAGATTGCACGTGTCTAAATTTGAGCTTTGTCAGAGTAAATGTTTTTGAAAATGTTTCAGGATGTACTGAATAGTTTCCACTATAAGCTGTTTTATGACTTGGAGTAAAAAGCAAACTCAAACGACCTGATGGTGGTTGTTTTGTGTTGTCTGTGCCTTGGCCTTTCTCGCTCTCTCTCATACACACACACACACACACACACACACACACACACACACACACACACACACACACGCGCACAAACATACACCCACATTCTCACTTTGCTTTCTTTTCCATGTGTGCTGTGTTTTAATGGGAGGCTTAAACAGCAGCAGATGTTTTCTTCTCACTGCCAACAGAATCTGTCCTCGGGGCCAGACCGCCACGTGGAGTGAAGTTGAAGGTGGATTTCAAATAATCCTGCAATACAAGCCATCACGGCTTGCTACCTGCATGTTTTTTGACTCATTACTGGTATTCAAATTGGAACAGAATTACTCAGTGGACTTTCTGTCTCATAACACCCTGCTTTCACATATCGACAAATGCACAGAACACAAAGTGATTTCCGTGTGCAGAGTTCCTCAACATCTGGGGCTAGTTTCACTAAGACAGACTGACTGTGCCTTACATCTAAGTAGTCAAATTGATGTACTGAGAAAAAAAAACATCTTGAGTATTTTTTTTATCTTTTTTGAAGCCACTATCACTGTGGCTGTTACAATGGAAACCTATTTCTTCTTTGGCTATAAAAAGGGGAAAAGACATGGATTTTATGAATCTGTATTTCTTTAATTAGATCATGAGTCACCAGAACTATAGATCAGCCTGTGAAACCACTCCCTTGCTTTGAACACCTGCTTTGAAAACCTTTGTTACCAACAGTATAAAGGGTATGTTGCTTAGTTTACCTTTATTCTGTCAGTCTGATCCATGATCAGTGCCCCTTTTTCATTCCACTATGCAAAGCAGGTTAAAGCAGGTTTAGTGGTGGTCAAAGAGAGCATATTTCCAGGAGCAGCATAACCTAAAGCAAAAAAGAGACAACACAGAAATCAGTGATGTGAGAAGATATTAATCTGAATATCAAATCTTACTTTGCTGACAGATAAATCTGTTGTGCTGGATGAATAGGACAAGGGTGATTCCTTCAATTCTTATTATATAGAATAGGGTTCAAACTCATATACTTCCTTGAGTGGGCTATACACAAATGCAAAATTACCTGTTGAAATGTTAAAGAGTCATCAGTGGCTTGAATTTCTTTGGCTTCCCTTATTTCAATGTAAAACAGGCTTTGATCAGTTATCTCTAAAATGACTTTGGTGAGTGGCTTAATGGTGAAGTATGAGGTTACTCTTGCTGTATACCATTCCTGCACATTTTTATTGCAGGGATAGCCTGGGAAGTGTGCATAAATAATAATAATAATGGATTGCATTTACAGAGCACTTTTCGAGAACCTCAAAGCGCTGTACAATTCCATTATTCATTCATTCTCACATTCACACACTGGTGGAGGCAAGCTACAGTTGTAGCCACGTCTGCCCTTATTAAATAAATAAATAAATATTATTTATTTATTTAAAGACTAAATAAATAAATAATACAGCTAAATAATTGACATGTGTGATTTGGTATCCACATTGTATCCACATAAACAGACATGTGAAACCAAGAGGCCGTTTGAAGCCTACAGCTCACCCCACCTACACGTGTCTGTGCTAAAGGAGAAATCTTGAAGCATCTGGATAAAATCCAGTCCAGGATGTTGCTGTGAGGCACTGTACCTCTGCCTGCCTATTAGTCTCAACAGTTCACTGAAGAAGTAAGTTAAAGTGTTGGAGAACACCGGTGATGATGGTGCAACAAAATCTTTCACATATAAAAATTAGAGCTTTAACAGCTTAGGTCTCCAGGTGGAGAAATACTTCATTTTGTTGAAATGATATTCCAACAGGCCGAGGCAAGTTATACATGATGTCGAAGAGCATCACACTAACCAGCAGCTGGAGAATGAACAAGCTTGCAGTTTATGTGATCAATTTGCTTCTCTGCAACAAAAGCGGTTGATACTTTTATATGCAGCTTTTTAAAGAAAACACTTGTCCACACTATTGGCAGTGTTTATAGAAAGTGTGATAAATAGTTCCAAGCACTAACAATATTGCACTACTTCTTAAAATATAACCACAGACACAACAGCATGACAGAAGCTGATACTTCTCGTTCACATTAATGTATATGAAAACTCTGTGGAGTTTAATGTGTGTTAACATGCTGGATGGAGTTTTCTTCATTATTGATATAGTAAAAGAACATGTAAGAAGGAGTATTCAAAGGCTGAGGAATCATACCTCTAAATGTAAACCCTTTGATCTAAGTAGAATAAGTGCATCTTCATCACTCTTCAGACTCCACTCACTAAAACCTCTGGCATCAAAACTGAAGCCTGACTGGTCAAATCATGCATTCATTAATATCAACACTCAGCTCAGTTTAAACTGTTTTTGTGCTCCAGGTAACAAACTTAAGCATCACGTGTTTAATGTTTAACCTGAAAACAATGGGTGTGTAATTTTTAGGTATTCCTAAGCTTCTACCAGGCGACACTTGACACCTCTGTAAACACAGAAGCTTTAAAATCAAGGAGTCCTATCTTTGTTTAATTGTTTGCACACCAGGCAACCAATCAGATAAAGTAGAGCACGACTTGAGTTGAAACGACCTCACACTTCATATTTGCATGTATTTGATCCAAGAGAAGCCACAGAACAGGTTATGTAATGCTTATGAAGTACAGCTTTCCTCCCAGCCAGGGTTGTGTTTCACTATTGTCAAGCAGATAAAGGTAGCTTACAGTCAGTGGTATTAATGAGCACACTGTTGAAATCATGTTTAAATAAACTTTATATGTGCATATGTTTTCTAGAGAAATGAAAAGAGTTACTTTGTCAGTGCGCTGATGTATAAGTTCTCAATATGTTTGTGCATGTGTGTGTTTGTGTGTGGGCATGCATGCAAGTGTGTGTAACTACTCAAGGGGAAGGGTGGGGTAAAGAGCCATGATAATCTGCTTGATTCACACAAGCCTTTCCCCACCCTGCCTGGGGCTAAGCCAATAATCACCATTCCAGGGGACTGACACTGGGAGATAGTCGTCCAGCTTACAGGGGGGTGAAAACTTGTGCTGATGTTATCTTATATGCCATATCATTAAAGGCACCATATAAAATACTATCAAGCTATAGGCCAGTATGGGTGTTTATAGTTCAGAGAGGTCCAAAAGTAACTGAAATTCAGGATAACAGTTGTAAAAAACTTATTTGAAAGGAAAGGTACTTGTTGTAGACTGTATGTTGCTCCAGCAGCTACCTTTCACAGTTTCGGCAGGTTAGAATCAGTTTCACCGTGTCAGCAAAACACAGCAGGCAGAGGAAGAATGCGCAGCTGAAAGAGGTTATTGGCTTACACAGAAGGGGAACTACTAACTAGTAATTTCTCCTCTTATAGTAATAAGTAACTCCTGCAGTCTCGTTTTATTAAACACATAGCAAGATACAGCTGTGAATTAGGCTGCTAATCATATCTAAGTTATAGAAGAAATACTTAATATATTATTAATGCCCAAAAGTCTTAAAAAAACATATATCTTTATGACGTACTTAAAAGTCGCTGTGGTAAAAGTTGAAGAAGGAAAAAATAGCAAGCTGACAAGTGAAGACATACAGAGGTGTGAGTCCTGAGGGCAGTAAGCGTAATCCCTCCCCGTCAGAGTGCGAACAGTGAGTTTGGACTGCTAAATGCTCCAGCCTTCAGAGGGACGATGGTGGAGGGCTGGTAAAGATGGCGGCGCTCTCCGTGGATGGGAGATACGGATTAAATTGTGGCCAACAAAGCGCAGAAAGAGTCACTGTATTACATGTAAAGTTAACCGAGACAGCACTGAGGGCGATAGAGACCTACCAAAACTGTACGGTGAGTAAAACGCCGTGTATTTCAAGAATAAGGACTCAAACTGACACTGCTCGGATCAGCTAGGAAGTCCCAACTGCCACGCATAGCTAAAAGCTACAAAGTTAGCTAAGCTGTTGACAGAGCGAGTTTCAGCTGGGTTTTTTGATCACATTAGTTGGGTGTCGTGAAAGTAATCAACGGCAGAAGATAAATGAGACATTGGTCTTATATTCTAGCCAGGTTTTACGAACTGACAAATATGATTTAACGTAAAAACCTGTTGGTTGAGCTGGACGCTGATTAGCTAACGCTAGCTCTACGTTATTATGTTGTGCTGACCAACCTAGTCCATTTTTTTTCTTGCCAAACTAATGTTGCTTACCAAATTAGGAAAGTGGTAGGCTCATATCGACGAATACACTAGACAAGCTTCATGAGCATAGCGTTTTAACATTAAAATATTAAATTTTTTTCGACGTTATATATTAAGAGCAGGAATGGAAACATAGCAATAAATGAGTGATAATCTAACTTTGATCACAGGTTCGTGCCGTTTTTGTCGATGACTGGTTAGCTTGCCATATGTTTAGATTTAGCCAGCTGGCAAAACCTAACAAAAACCTGGCAGGGATATGGAGCTCCTAGTCAGGCTCGCCCTTTTTTAACTGTTTAACTTTGTTATAATCTGTTGCAGTCCAACACTAGCTAGAGATACAACTGAGCAAGCATCTCCAAGGTTTTCATAGGACAAATATTTATTTATTGAGTTTCTTTCTTTCTCTTTCTTAATTCATTTAATATATATATATTTTTCTAGTTGGCATCAAGCTTCACTGAGAAGAATGAGCCAGCATTTATAAATATGTCTAATACAAGACCTTAAAAAAATGAAAGGAAAGCAAGAAGAACAGCTTATTTTTGTCCTTTTCTTTTTTCTTTCTTTTTGCATTAATGTAATGTATTACCATACTCTTTCTGAACTAATTCAAGCCAGTGTGCTGTAACACAAAGTAGTGCTTTTAAAACTACTGTTTGCTCTGGATCACTGCATGCCTGTGCCGATTAAATATAACTTGTTAATCTTGAACCGTACGAATGGTGTAATCTTGTTGAGGTGAATGCAGGTGGACTAATCTGAACCTCTGCAGTCTTGAATAAGGAGGCCTAAAGCCAGGTTACCTGACTTTTCTCTTCCAACAACAACGCTGTTACGTAACACACTGGCCAGGTCTAGGTCTCCACTCAGGGATGATACATTATAGCTTGCTAGTAGGCTAGTGTGCTGAGGTTTCTGAGACTTTATCATTTTATTGCATATACACTTACAGATGATGGTTCCAATGCCAGAGAGATTGTCGAACGGAAGAGCCATAGAAGTTCCGTAGTGTGAAGGTATTTCGGCTATTTCAAGCAGAGATGGGCAGTAACGCGTTACTGTAATCTGATTACTTTTTTCAAGTAACGAGTAAAGTAAGGGATTACTATTGCAAAAACGGTAATTAGATTACCGTTACTTTCCCGTAGGAACGCTGCGTTACTTACTAAACCGTGAATTTTTTTTTTTGCGAGAATGTCTCAGACAGTGACGTAAGCGAGTGCGACGTTGTGACAACAGCTGTGTGCAGATCAACAATGGATCACATATCGATTTGGGAGAGAGTATGAGCGTGCAGCGTTTAAAGCGTGGAAGTACTGACCTTACTTTGAGTTTGATTCCATAAAAAGTGACAAAAACATTAGCGTCCATTGTGCGTGGGAAGAAAACTTCTTTTTACAGCGAAAAAAACCCCTAAACTTCCAAGCAAGCACCGAGTGCGCAACGACGTAATGGGAAACTCACAGAGAAAGTCGCGGATTCTTCAACTGACCGCGGCACACCTGCACCAGGGTAAACCTCCGCCTACCGCAGTCCTGCTTTACAGGTGAAAATAGAGCAACAGGACCGCTGAGTCTTTGACTTTATTTATTTTCTGCTGTGTTTTACTTGCATCTATTTGAAAGAGTGAGTGTAAACACAAAAAATATTTTATTTTATGTGCTGGAATGTGCAGAAAATAGGTTTAAATGTTAAACTAATTTTTCAAGTCAGAGAATGTTGCATATAATTAAATTTTTGCTTGATGCATAAAGTTAAAAGATTAAAACTAATAAAACAAGTTAAAAAAAGAGACTTTTCCATTTGATTACATTTTGTATGATGGATTATGAGAAAAAGTAGAATTGGGCTGAAAGATCTATCGCTTTCCAGGTTGTAAATCGTGTTTTTAAAAAGTAACTAAGTAATTAATTACTTTTGAAAATAAGTAATCAGTAAAGTAACGGGATTACTTTTTGGGGAAGTAATCAGTAATTAGTTACTGATTACTTTTTTCAAGTAATTGAACACTATTTCAAGTCTGACAAAAAACAGAGTAGCGTGCACTGTAAATTGTGCCGAAAGCAAGTCTGGAAATACAATAAACTGGTGCATGCGCTACGTCCACACGTACCCGGGTATTTTTGAAAACGCAGATTTTTCTATGCGTTTGCACCTTTCGTCCACACGTAAACGGCGTTTTTGGTCACTGAAAACGAAGATTTTTGAAAACTCCGTTTTTGCATTTACGTGTGGACTAGAAAAACGGAGAAAACGCAGCGTCAAAGGTGTGCGCATTTTTTGACGTCACACTGTGCGCCACGTTATTGTTTCGGTGAAATGAATTTCTACAATACTGTTACTGTTAATTCTACTCTCTGCAGTGTTTAAATGCTTACATATACACACAGTTACTGTCCCTCCACACATACGACTCGGTTCTGCTTCTATGCCCCAGCTTTGTTTACTTTTTCCCACCGAGGCTTCTAGACTTCTGATTGGCCAACATTTCTGCACGGTTAGGAATCTAGCGCCACCTGCTGCTTTGGCATGTTCATAGCAGCGTTTTCCTTCATTTCTCCCTTTATGTGTGGACGGGATTATTTTTTAAAACGAAAACGGAAAATCTCCGTTTTCAAAAATACCCGTGTACGTGTGGACGTAGCCTCAGTCTCTGACTGGAAGCGCTAATTCGTCATTCGGCTTTTGTCAGACTAAAGTAACTGTTAAAACTGTTTGAAAAGCTCAGCTATACAACAAGGAGAGATTGAGAATTTCCTTTTAGTTCTCAGTTTATTTGATATTGACAAAAGTTAGTCAGTTTTGTCTGTTCTTCTGTAAAACAAACTAAGATTTATTTTTAGAATTAATATTTTGTTTCTAAGTGGAATTGACAATTTAGTCTGTTTCGTTTGTTCTATTTTGAAACTTAAACGCTTTAGCGGCTGCCTTTTGTGTAGTTTGCAATATTTGCCTTTATTTATCTGAAAAAGTCTCATGTTCCTTAAGTACATCTACCCTGTTGAACTTATTATGGGAAATAAATATTTAAATAAAAACAAGCTGCTGATTATTTCACATTTTACTTGTGAGCAACGGCACATTTAAATCTTACAAATATAGTTATTTGGCTTATATCGTGATAGATATCGTTATCGCCTGAAATGAAAAAAACATATCGTGATATGAAAAAATCTTATATCTCCCAGCTCTACATTTACCTGTCCGTCTGCCAGCCACACATTGTATACATTCTTGTATGATAAGCTTTGGCTTATTGTCAGCCCCATGAGAATTCCTCTTGCAAATATGTGTTTATAAAATGTGGATATAAAGCAAAATCCAAAATGATTATTCACACGGTTTTGTGACAGCTAGCAGGCTGCGTTATCACTTAGTTGAGGGAATTCTTTTGTGACAGCCCGTGCTACAACCTTATTGGATGTGGTAATGTTGGTCTGTTCTCTGCACTGAACAGCAGCCTGCAATCTCTTGCTGACTGAGCAGCCAAAAACTGCCTGCTTTTTGTTTCTCTCTCCCTCTCGGTAATGTGTGCTGTAGCTAACCCAGTCATCGAACTCTGGAAGCCGGCTATCTTTGTCTTTCTGTGGTGATGTGAAATGTGATCAGAACGGTGCGAGTGGGGGGAGGAGGGAGTATGGCTTGGAGTAGCACAGCTTTTACAACAATGACATATTTATTTCAATGTTTAAAAAAAAAAAAGTGCCCATTTTATCCAGTCACCTACTTCTTGAGTCGCTTTAGGAAGACTCAGCAACGTGGAGAATCTGTTGTTAATAAAATGCGCATACCTCCCACTCAGACTAGTTCACAAGTCTAGCTGACTGGTTCTTCTGTGTACTTAAGCCGGGTGAAGAAACTGGGAGTCATGTGCTTCTCCCAGTTTATTGTATACCGCTGAAGAGCAGCCACTCTTATTACTTCTTATTTCAAGTAAATTATGTGGTTTGTTTTTAGTGTCAAAACATATCATTTCATTTATATAGCGCCTCTCTCTCTCTCTTTCTCTCTCTTTAAGTGGCTCGCTGAGCATTATATGCTGCAAATCACCCATGGCTTCAGAAAAAAACATGCAAGCTGTCCATACAAGGAAAGCTGCAATAATTGGGTGACTGTTTAAATAGCTCTGGCCAGACCGATGTGCCATATAGCACTTTGAGCTTTGGAAATGTGAGGCTTCACACTATTTGTCTGATAATTTACTGACCAAACAACCAGTTGGTTAATTGGTGAAATAATCTGAAGATCAGCAGCAGCACTGCATCAGACACAGCGCTGTTAACAAGTTCCCAGTTGCGTGATTGACAGGGATTATCTTTGCTGTGCTGCCTCTTCATTTTTTCTCTTTTGCATCATGAATACTGATTATGACCTAGTTACTTGCTCTCCCACAGACAAAGAAGGCACGTGCTCGTCAGATATCAGCTGGCTGTCAGCTATAGTCCTAGCAGCATGTTTTTAAATGTAGCCTTTAAACAAACATGCAGAGCAAGTGGTTAAGCGTTCAGCATTTGTCTGCATTATGATGGAAGCATGTGTTATAGGAGGACTGGGAGTAAAGTGTAGTGTAGATTCTAGGCCTTTTATTTTCTGTTTTTTGTTTTGTTTTGTTTTTTAAATGCTTATTTATGTCTGTATATATTTTTTGTTTCAGGGGTTAAAGTATGTGTGTGTTTCCCCTTATTTGCAGAATGTTCCTTCTCTGCGGCCAACGATACAGTTCAAGGGACTACAAGGGGTAAGTCCAACAAGGAAAACAAAAAACCTGGTTGTATTTTAGGTTGTGAGTCTTGCATTAACTGATAAAAATAAGCTTGCCAGTTGTATTCATTGATCCTAAAATCAGTAAAACCACTTAACAATTTCTGGCATTAACTCATTTTAGCACTTGTAATAAAATATAAATTCAATACAAAATGGCCAATTTAATGATTTTAATGATTCAAACGGAATTGTTTATAAAGCAAGATCATTTCTTTTTTTCTTTTTTTAATGTGTGTTTTCCTCTGATGTTCCTCACGATAAAATATCAAGTTAATAATTGGTTCATATATATTTTTGTATGATGTATGTACTCCATAATGACATGGCTCACCTCCCATTAGATAATAAGAACTTGGGTTGTCCTGTTTCCTCGTAACTCTTAAATTGTTCACATCATCCTCTATAGCTCTACTGCTGAATACACTGTTATACTGTTTGTGTTATACTTAATATGTATGTGAATTATTTGACAGCGCATTAAGATTCCCAAGAGTGACTCTTCTTCAGACGCCTTCCACAATTTTGAATTCTATCTGTCTAATGTGGGCAAGGACAACCCTCAGGGAAGCTTCGAGTGCATCCATCAGTATGCGTCGAGGTAGTGTTAATCGCTGGTCAGCTGAATCAACTGTTACTTTCTTACCACACGTTGCTGGAAGGTAATCCCTCTCTTGCATTACATTTCTCCCCCACACTCCCTCTTTGTCTCTAGCTCAGGGGCCTCACACCTGGCATTGTTGGCGACAGTACACGACAAGGTCACAGTGTGTGCCACCAATGACTCCTACCAGGTGACCCGGGAGCGCATGACCCAGGCTGTGGAGGACACACGAGAACGTGGGACCAAAGTCATCAAGCCTGGTGGTCAGTACAGAGGTAAGACCCTTCCTACAATCTCGCTTATTTCCCACTGCCGCAGTCAAAGGGCGGTGTGGATCCCACATGTCACCATGGCTTTACAACCCCTCTTCTCTCTTTTCAAACTCTGCCTCTTTTGAGAGCCTGAATAGGTGAAAGCTGACAGACTAACTCTATTCAAAGCCATTATTGCGACTGACTAAGCTATTTTGCCGTCTCAGTTTTTTCCAGATTAGGAGTCTGTCTGATAATGACAAATGGTGGCAGATAAAGCTAATGCTGTTTTAGTAATGCATAGCTTGCCACACAGTACACGTTTTACTTTTGTTTTATTGTGTTTAACATTTATCTTTTCAACAAATTATGTCTTCATGTTTTCCTTACACATGAGGGATGTATAGTTGTTACAGTGTTTTATATACAGATAGCTGTTGCTCTTAAACTTCCTGCATGTTTAGAATGACTGCTGGTACATGCAGCTAATCTAGGCTTACATTAGGTATTCCCTGCTTTTCAGATGTCTGACAACAAAAAAAGAATGCGTAAAATTCAAATACTTTGGCTTATGCAACGTTAAAAGATAGTTTGACTGATCACAGAGAGTTGATACTGAGCAATGTAACCAGACTGCATTCACAGGCCGCGCCTGGGTGGCAGCAAATTTAAGAAGACAACTTTGTTGTCTTCATCTTCTACAGTAATCAAGTATTTTAAATTTCACTATAACCCACGGTAAAGAGCTGTTGCCCTGTTCTGTATTTATTTTAAGTTTTCTGATCACTATCCTGATCTGAATTGTGATGAAATTTTGTTGCTTGCCAAAAAAGAAAAGGAGGGCAAAGTATATCTGTCCCATTTCACTATAGAAATCGCTACAAATCCCAGTTTGTGGTTTAAATGTCATTATTTTCACACATACAAGTAAGCATTTAAAAATGTACACTATTTACTGTAGATGTAGTCTAAAAGCCTTTTTTTTTTTCTTTTTTTTTTTTTCTGAGCCCTGGGGATATATTTGTATATTTGCATGTACTGTCACATAGAAACTGGGAATCGAGATGATGTACAGAAAAGGGGGTGGGTCAGTCGTTTGTAGCACCTGGTTTGAAGTAAGTATCATATTTACAGATGTGCCAGGGGCCTTTAGATTCTTGTTTTCGCAGGCTTTTTGTTTCAGATAGCAGCCTCTAACTTTCCCTAATCTTTGTCTGCCTTCTGCAGTCGCATTTAAAAGCAGTAACTCTTAATAAATGTACAGATGGTCTGTACAGAATATCTCTTTCTGAAGAAGAAAAATGTGATGCAAAAGCATTACGCCTGCTAGAATCTGTCACTGATCTCTGTCACTGTTTGCGAGTCTTTTTCCTTTTCTTTGACGAGGAGGGAGGGGAGGAGTTTTTGCTTTCTCTTCCTTTCCCTAACCTTAATCTTTTAAAGAGCTTTAGAATTTCATAATGACCATGAAGAAGTATACAGGGAAGTGTTGACACCATGATTAAGCACAATGCTCAGTAATAAGGTTTCTCTGGCTTTAACTTCAACACTTTAAAATGGGTTCTCTAAGCTGCTTAGTGTAGTTATGTAGTTTGGTATGGTCAGTTTTCTTGCCACATACACTTTCACTGGAAATGGCATTAACATCAGACCATATTGTCACTGGTTTCAAAAACTGAAATCGTGAATGTCACTGACATAACAAAAGCACTCATTGTGTCTCTTATATTCTGTGGTTACAGTTCCTAATGTCAGTTTGAAATAAGGTTTGACTTGAGCAGCTCAGCTTCTTTGGTCTTTCTACATGCCATTGACACTCTCACATGATTTCCTCTCAGAAAGGTTCAACCCATGTGTAGGTGACCAAATCCTGGTTAATGTCATTCACATACAGCAGTGGAGGATTTAGCCTACTGTAATCCATTAGTGAACACAGGTAAAAGAGTATTATGGTATAAATTGTAAAACTCGGTAAAAAAAAAAAAAAAAGAAAAAAAAAAAAAAAAAAAAAACATATATATATATATATATATATATATATATATATATATATATATATATATATATATATATATATATATATATAATTATATATATATATAATATATAAATATATATATATATAAATATAAATATACACATAAAATAAAGCCATGAAATTAATATACACACACACACACACACACACACACACACAACACACACACACACACACACATCCCCATCCCCAGTCCATAGGTCTGGCATAGATCCATTTAGCCTAAGCACATTGCCAGGATTGTAATACACTGGTGGAAACCCTGATCCATTTCTTTAAGCTCTCACTATTATAATCATTGGATCAGTCCTAATGTATGTGTAATGTAGATGCAATTGACACCCACTTTTAATAAGAGATGTTAATCAGAAGTTCTTATCTGTCGGCGTAAAAGAATCATCTGTGATGAGCCAGTCTGCAGAGAAGAGAAGTCGTAACTTTCCATTTTCCTTCTGTTTTGCAGGAAAGCAAGTACATATCCGTAAGCCTGCACTATCCACCCCAGAAGTGGTCCCAGAGCGTAAACGCTCCACACCCATCAACCCAGCCAACACTATTCGTAAGTGCCTTTCCAATAACCCTGTATCGCAGCGGCCGTTCAGAGACCGCATCATTCATCTGCTGGCACTCAGGCCCTACAAGAAGCTGGAAGTGCTAGCACGTTTGCAGCGTGACGGTATCAACCAGAAGGATCGCAACTCTTTGGGGACCGCCCTGCAGCAGGTATTTCCCAACAGGAGATTTAAATGCATGAGTTTGAACAGATTTGTCTGTTTATGAAGGCTAACAAGATTGTTGCTTGCAGATCTGCCTGATGAAATCCTGCTCACTTTATTAATGCTTCATTCATGAGAAATGAGACTGTTAGTCGTTGAACAGTATTTACATACACAGATGTTTAGCCAGCACAGGATGTACGAAGTATCTATACCAGTATTCCTGCTGCCACAACTTAACTTTGAAACTCTGTGTGTTTCTATGCAAATTAGGTGGCAAACCTGAATCCCAAAGACAATGCATATTCTCTGAAGGACTACATATACCGTGACGTCCAGCGAGACTGGCCTGGTTACTCAGAAGATGAGAAGTCTCAGATTGACCGGATCCTGACTCGGTACACAAGCAGCCAGTTCAGCTTTTTATTCTGATTAATTTTGAGTTGCCTTTGATTAAATTAAAAGCAGTCGATATATTGAAAGGAAATGTACAGAACGGTAGGATGTGAAATACAGAGCAGAGATCCTCATGCTTGAATAGAAGCATCAGTCATTCGGTCACATGGCAAGTGCCAAAATATAGCCTCAATTATGCTCCTAAATGGTCTCCTGCTTGCCTGTAGTGATAAAGCATTTGTTCTTTATGGTGTGTAATTGGGCTAACACTGTTTACACTTTAAGCAGAAGTGGTTTTACATACATGAGCACAGATTCCAAAAGAACGAATGAAACGCTGAAACTCGTGAGAGAGTGAAGAAAACACACTGTTCTGTTATCTTGGTGTGTGGCATAAGCCTGCAGTACATGCTATAGCTTCTATGAAAACATCGACACTGTTTAGACTAGCTTGTGGTACGGTTTATTTTGACATTAGCTACACTACAGATTTGTGTTTTAGAGCCATTTCTTCTCCTTCTTGTGTTGTGGCATTGGAAAAATGTAAATTAAGCCTCATGAATATGACCAATCCACATTTTTAGCAGGTCTTAGTGTAATGATGGTTGAAGGCTACCCTCTAAGTTGCCCTTTCTTGCCACTTAGACTGTTCCCCACTGATAACACTCTGTCTTTTCTTCAATAGCAAATTAGGTCTTCCTAATGAGATAACTGCAACCTCATCCAGTGGTTCTCCCAAAGACAGCGCTCCCACATCGCCTCAGGTACCTGAACAAAAATTCTCTAAAGCTCAACCCATGGTGTTATATGATTTTCAGACTAAATTCTGTGGTTGGTTTCGTTGGGGGGGGTTTTTGGCAGAAGCGTCAGCCAGACTTTGATTTCATTGATCCTTTGGCACCGAAGAAAGCCCGCATCTCCCACCTCAGTAATCGAGGGCCAGCTGCATCCTCCTCGGATCGCCTTGAGGACGAGGGCAGCCTCAGCTCTAAACGCTCATCCCTACCCTCCAATGTCACCTCAGGCCCTCCCACTCATCTCCCCATCTCATCCCACCCACCTGCCCCCTCTCACCAGCAGCCTAGCCCAGCTTCTAACACCAACTCACCAAGCACCCCAGAGGGCTGTGGCACCCAGGACCTGCCCGTGGACCAGAGTTCCTCCTGCAGAGATCCTTCACCCAAGTCCTTTTCGTCCAATAGATCCCTGCAGGATCGCTATCAGCATCCTAACCCCGGTCCCAGACCATCCCCCAGCCCTCCGCCTTGCACCTCACTCACAGTTACCTCCACTGTCATTTCTAGCCCTCCCTTGTCCAGCATCACCAGTAAGAAGGTTAAAAAGAAGTCTAAAAAGTACAAAGACAAGGATCGAGAAAGGGAGAAAGGGAAGCGAAAGGAAAGAGATGGCAGTAGTTCTCATGGTGTTGTGGAGCAGGCTGTAGAAAGTCATAGAGCCAAGAAGAGGCAGAGCCCTGATGAAGAGACCAGGAGACTTATCAGCAAAAGTTCTCACAAAGATCAAGGTGCGTTTCTGAATCTCTTGTATGGACCACTGAATCAGATACCTGCAGTTCTGGAAAATTTATGTTGTCACTTTAACTCAGAAAACAGGACAACAACCTTTACATTACAGGCTTCCATTTCTTTGCAGCAGCCTTTGCTTTTTCAGCAGCTGCACCACTGATTTTATGAGAAAAATGGGTTTGTCTTTTCCTATAAAAGCAGTGCATGTCTGTCCATCAGTACCTTTCGGTCCTGATTATATTGAATGAAAAATCCTGTGCTGTGGGTTAATGTCATCATGCAACAAACATTTACATTACTGTTGAAACATCAGGGATCAACTAAAAGAGACCTGTTCATATTCTTTACATCAGAACAAGATGGTTAAAAATAAAATCCTGTTGTTAGACAGTTTTCCATCACAGCAGCGGTGCTTATATTTAATGTTCATTATAAATTCTGCACTTAGATTCTTGCATATTGCTGTCTCTCCTCAGACTCTTCAGACAAAGAGAGGCCAGTCCAATCCACTGAATTTTCATCCAAAGTAGATACACCTGACTATATCCTGTAAGTAACTGTTATAATTCTAAAAGGGTCCATTATCAACAGTCTTTTTTTTCTTTTAACCTCTCAGGTTTCAGCTTTTTTTTTTCTTTTTTAATTTCCTCTTTTCTCAGCACAAATTGTGAAACAATTGCAAAAGAGGATGTTTTGAACAAACACAAGTGAAATAGAGTAGACAAGAATTAGGACACGTGAAATGCTGCTGTAAACACAGATGTGTTTCAGTGTGCATGCTAGTATTCTTTGTTCATTGCTGTACTAGGACTGTTTTGTACTTTCCACATCAGTGGTAATGAGTTCAGGGAATATCTTATCCGTAGCACATTTGAAATGGAGAAGTGCAACAGATGTTGAACTTCCCATATGTCTATAAATGGCATGACCTTTTCAAAGGTGCATTCAGAATAAATAAAGTTTGGAAAGAGCATGTTCATAGTCCAGTACTGGTATTGGTGTTGTCTGTAACAGCTCTTTCTGGATTGAAATTTCAAATTAAAACTTACTTTGTCACCACTTTAAAATGGATCTAATTTTCCTTTGTTTACAGGAAGTACACAGCATTGGTGTCCCTCGACCAGCGGCAAAGCTACAAGGACGATTTCAATGCGGAGTATGACGAGTACCGCCTGTTGCACGGACGCGTGGAGAACATCACCCGCCGCTTTACCCAGTTGGACGCCCAGTGTCGGAAGTTGGCCCCTGGCACCAAAGAGCATCAGGTCATATTGAAACTTTTTGCTTGGATACATTTTCGATGATGCTGGTATTGACTGCAGAAAGACCACAATCATAGAAATGTGACACAGGCTGTTCTCTCTCTTAATGTGTGTTTTAATCATTTTCTACATTATTATACATTTGTGGTCCTGTTGGCTGTGACAGAATATAATGAAGTCTTTGGCCTTTAACCATTCACAACTGGCTCTTTGTATACTGCTGTCAAACAAACAGGAGGCAGTAATGATGGACAGCTTATTCATAATCAACAAAAAGTAATAGTGTTGTCAAAGTTTCACAGCTGCTCCTCAATCCAGAGACACCTGCAACCAGCAGGCGACAGACATTTGTTTAGAGTGCTAATAGTTTCATTCTGTGCTTTGGTTCAGGGTCCTGCTTTTTGTCCCCAGCTATCAAAGCTTTTGTTTTTTATTTCCTTAAAGTAAATGTAGGTGGGTCAGTATTTCATTTATCTACAAAAAGTGAAAGAACACGTGTTTGTAATGTTTATACATGACGTCCATTGGGAACAACTAATGACTTTAATCATCTTTACAGAAGGTGCAAGAAGAAATAGTGAAAGAGTACAAAAAGATCAAACAAGTAAGTTACACAGGCTGTCATCATTTTAAGTCTTTGTGTGCATTTCTGCCTTTTCCCCTGATATAACCTAAAAACAATGTGAATTCTATAACCAAGTCTTTACTTTTTTGAATGTTTGTTGCATTAAGTTTGGCCAAAATGTTGTCACACTCCATAATCACGCTCATTCTTAAGATCTGAATTAGACACACTACGCATACATGTACTGGTGGCAGGGTGGTATGTGCACACCTGTGTAAATGACACAGTGTTTTAACTGATGTGAAAAGGTGCATTAACGTTAAATATTAAATCCTTCAAATATTAGTGCAGTATTGTTGCTTTATATTCCATGTGCATAAAAATTATTACATAATTGGACATATGCAGAAGCTCTTTCTGTCCTAAGACCATTCGGAACTGTGAACTTATTAGAGTTTAGAGCCTGATTATTTCTTTGACTCCTCTTTTGCATACCAATCAACTCAATATGGCTATAAAATGTATTAAAGCAGGCTAAATATGAATGGTCACAAATACCGGTAAGGAATGGCAGCTGTGAGAAAGTGCTGAAGTCATGACGGCATGCTGAGATAACTTAACTTCTGAGCAGGAAGACAAAGCACCTCCTCATGGATTTGTATAGGAATGTCAGGCATGTTTAGCTAGTGCAGTGCACCGTTTCCTTTTTGCTGTGTTTGTTCATGAACAAGGTGTCAAAGGAGAGCTTTCTGAAGCGAACTCTATCTGCCAATTCTTAACAAAAGTGCCTGAAGTATGCAGAGTAAAATCCGGATAAACTAGAATTGTGGTCAGTGAAACAAAACGGACAAATGTCCACAGTAAAGTTAAACATTTTAATCACAACTTTTAACCTTTTTAGTGTTTCTTGAAAGATGCCCTAAATGTCTCATAATCTGAAGTGCTCTGTAAGGAAGAGTGCATGCCACGATTGGTCAGAAAATAACAGAGCATTAGCAGGTTGACTTCTTTTATTTTAAGGATGAACAAAATGTGTAATTTGTTCTGCACTTTAAAAAATCAAACCAAGTGCAGCTGAACTGACATTTTCTTTTTTTTTTTTTCCCCTTTTTAAAAAATAAAATAAAATAAAATAGCACAGCCCCAACTACCACAAAGAGAAACTGCGCTGCGAGTACCTGCACAACAAGCTGGCCCACATCAAGCGGCTCATAGCTGATTTTGACCAGCGCAGAGCCCAGGCCTGGTCCTGAGGGCACAGTAGAGAACAGCTTCACTCATCAGTATTGAGAATGGAGGGTCAAACCAAGAGCATCTGTCCAGCTGTCTCTTAGCTATTGAGACCCCTTCAGTTGCTGCCTTCGCAACAGCTCCTTCCCCTACTTTCCTTACCATTTTTCCTTCTCCTGTTTTCTTGCTTCATTCCTCCTTTTCTTTTTGACCTTTGATTCCACAGGCTTCATTGGTGCCTGCAATCCTGCTTTTCGACTTTACCCATTAATCCTTTGCTTTTGCAGTATTTTTTTTTTCTTCTTCTTCTCCTGTGGATTTGACACCACTGGACCAGTGGAAGGGGCTGTCTGCATGTGTGAGCGGGTTTGTCTCTAACTTTTGAAGGACTTTCTCTTCAGACAAAAGTATTTTTGAGCATCAGATATAATATTAACATGTATTTAAGTAAAACAAAAAAGAGGGAGATCTATTTATTTTGTGACTCGTAGTGCAAAGTAAGAGTCTGCAAATGATATATTGTTTAATTTTGTTTTTTAAACAATGCAAAAAAAAAAATACCACAGGCCTTATGTGTTTTGACTTTGTGAAGCCATTTTGAACGCAGATCCATCTGTCATCTCATCTGACAAATATGCCTGTCTTGCCTCATTTCCTCTCATCACTTCAAACGGCAGTGGATAACCACACTTCAATAAATTGCTGCCGAAGCTGAATTTGAAGCTGAAGAGGAAGGAAATGAGACAGGAAGAAGAAATCACTTGAGCTGATTAAGAAGCAACAGTTTGTGTGCATGGGTTGTGAATTTAATTGCAATGATGAAATGGTGTTGAAGGTTGGCGTAAGCCAACCCCTCCCCCCACCCTGTCAGTAGGGGGCAGTATTTCCCACACCAAACAATATTTAATGTTCACAGTGCATTATGGATGCCTTAAGGTGTTTACATTCGGAAATGTCGAGCTGGGGCTTGGAGTCCACTGGCTGTACAAAGGAACTACAACTGCCTAGAAACAGGTCTCTGTGTGTGTGTGTGTGTGTGTGTGTGTGTGTGTGTGTGTGTGTGTGTGTGTGTGTGTGTGTGTGTGTGTGTGTGTGTGTTCCTGCCTGTGGCCATCTCCCTGTACAACGCATCCACTTAACACACTGTTTGCTGCTACAACGACACATGTTTCTT